AATTTCACGACACAGTGCACTTACCTACATGCAGGCAAAACACTAATACACACAAAATAAAAAATAATAAACAAAATAGTTTTAAAATATTTTTTACACAGAGGAGGATGCTTACTTAAATAGTGAATTGCTACTTGTGTAGGAGAACCATGTATCAGGGTAGAGGAAGAGATGAGTACTGAAATGCTTCTTTGGGGTCAGGGGAATAGAGTTGAAGACGGCTTGACATGATTTGAGGGAACTAGAGCCCTAAGTCATTTCAGAGCAAGACCATCAATAGCTATGTGATCATTTAACAAATTTCCTAACCATGATGAAACACGATTTGCATATATGCAAAATGGAACTAACACAGCTGTTCATGTGGAGTCCCTGAAAGAATTGAAAGATCTGGTAAAGCCTGAACCAGCATTTGCTAACACGAATGAAGAACAGTGAACGTGTTTGCAAACACAGCCACATTATTGCAACTTCTCTGCATAGTGAAACATAATAATGAAATTAAGTAAAGCAAAGAAAATCCAGGAAATGAGGATCATACCTCATGTTGTACAGATCACATGTGATATTTCTTTCAACATCATCAATAGTACCAAATTTACACATAATCAAACAACATGGAAAAATCCTCTCCACTCCATGTTATTTCATTGAGGATTAGAGAGGCTCTGGGAGTGTCCTAACGTTCAGGAAACTTTTTGTAGCAAATTAGCGGCCCCTGTTCCTGACCATGTCTACTGCGCAGTAACAGCAGGTCAGCAGCAGTGTCCACAAATGTTCCAGAAATGACAGGCTACAGAAGGAGCAGGTTCCTGGTCTCCCCTCCTCCATAAATCTTGATTTGGACTGAAGCTTTGAAGCTCGTAATTAATCTTACTCAAAATATGTAAAATGTAATTCAAGTTCAAGAATTTAAGAGAAAACAAATGAACACGATTTCTTTAGCTTTCTGATTCACAACTCCTTTAATCCAGAAACCTTTCTTACATACACTTTTTTTTAGAACTAACTTTGATAGCTGGAAACTTCTTTGAAAAAATTCTATTACAAAGTTAATAGCATTAAATGTGTAGACTTTTCACAAGTCCAAGAAGTGTTCCTCTCTACTCTCTTCTTACTGTATTAGTTACTTTTCCCAATGTGATAAATACCCGAAAAGACCATTGAAGGAAGATAAAGTATATGTTGGCTCACAGTTTAAAAGGGATGCTGTCTACCATGGCAGGAAAGCTGATGGGCAGGGCACGAGGCAGCTGGGCACAGTGCATTTGCTGTCAGAAAGAGGAGAAAGTCCAATGCTGGTGCTCAGCTTGGTATCTCCTTTTGCCCTGTGTATTTCTCCTGGGTACCCTGTCCCTAGGAGAGGGTAACCTGTAACCTAACAGGACATATCTTTGCTTCTCAGTCAAACTGCATTGGAAATGCCCTCACAAAAAAAAGTCTTTCTTCTAGGCAATTCCAAACCCAATCAAGTTTATAATATAGATTACCCATGTATCCAACACCCAGAAGGAGTTCATAAACCCTTGTTTTGAGCCTTCTATGCATTGTTTCTATCAAACTCTATCTTCTCTTTACAGAATGTTGTATCCTGCATTCCTTTTATATTCAGTCAAGCCTCACATCACCTTAAAATTACTGTCCCAATACCTGTTCCTCAGGTCAGATACTACCTTTTAACGTTCTAATTTTATTGATTTTACAGTAGTCTCACCTGAGGATAAAGGACATATTTTTATTAACTACTTCTTCTTAAAAAAGAGAGACTTAGAACTGCCTCATTTCTCATTTCCCTGACATCTG